CTGAAGTAATGTTAGATCTAAACTAAACTTTTAGCCAGTCCGTTGCTATTCAAAAACAAAAACAGAAAACTCTACCTTCTATTAGTGCTTTAAAGACTGATTTCTTGATCAGAATGACAAAATGGCAAAATCGAACAAAACTTCACTGTTTTTTTTATTATAAATTTCATTCTCTGCACGGCCTTTGGTTTTTTCTGTCACTTCGAAACCGCAAGCAACCAGGAAGTTCAAGTACATGAATGTTTAAAGAATTTCGTAAGAAAAATCTCAGCAGCTATGAAAATCTACGCTCCGGTTGCAGTGCAACGCGTTCTGCGCCGTAATGTTGCAGCTACAAAAAGTTTGCCATCAAACCTGAAGAACACACACAGCCGCGCTCAATGAAAAACTACCGAAACCACAAGAAATTGCGCAGACTGGCAGTGACAGCTGTTAGGTGTCGGGGAAAGAAATATGTAATAGCAGCAGTCTAAGAGATAGCAAAATGAGAAAATAAAAACTTCTCCCACGGCAGAGTTGGCGAGTTATTGCAACTCGACTTGCATTTAATTTGCAATTTTAATTTACAGCTCTACTTGCTCCAACATTCGGCAGCAATCGAGGCGGCGGCGGGAGGCGTCTGTTGCTGTCAGAGGTTTCAGGACTGCATGCTGTTGCTTAGGCGCCCAATCGCAAATAAGGCTCGTGTTGATATGTCCTGCGGTTACTTTCTGCTTAACATTTCAATTCATTAGAATTAATTCGTTGTAGAAGTTGTTCAGCTGCTTGTTTTCTTTTCCCGCCCTTTGTTGCTATTGTTTTTGTGCTTTGCGAGTTATTTCTCCTCTCCATTTCTTTTGCATTATTTCCGATTCTTCTATTTGTTGCCAAACAAGTTAAACAACCTAATGATGCCGGTGGGCTACAACATGTTTCCTACATACGAACTGACAGGCGACGTGTCTGTCAGTGGAGGGAGTTGAAGAAGAAAGCCCGAACTGCCTGCAGCTAGACAAAATATTCCATTCTCCGTATGTTTCCTGTTGCCACTTTGTGCTGCTCCTTCTGGCAGCTGATCTCGTGACTCACCACTTTGCCTATCCAAGCGGGATTTATTAAACATATGCTTGTGAATATGTCCATTTACATGGATGCATATGTGTGTGTGCGTGTACTTATTTATGTATATGTCTACTCAGCCAGATGAATGTTTTGCAGGTAAATTAGCAGCAGCCATCTTCTTCCGTGCTGTCTTTGTTGCGTCGTGTCCACACAGCTGAACTCCAGTTACAGTTACAGCGCCAGCGCCCACATTGCTCAGACGTCCTGTTGGTTGGGGGTTACTCATTCGCATTGCGTGCTTTTCAACGGCTTTCACTGCCGTCGTTTAGCGTTGTTTTCCACTTCATGACAGCTGCTGAAAACATTTCCTCTGTGTGTGCACTCCACCCAAGCACAAATGCGCTCGCTTCCTTGCTCCTGCTGCTGCTGCTGCTGTCGGCCACACGACCTATTCAAATTAAATGAAGTAAATTCCGAATTTCCATTCCTATGATCGCTTCATTCGTTGCGATGGCTTAGGTTCGCTGGTTGCTCCCCCCCTCCCTTCCAGCCCGTTGTCCGTCTCTTGTTTGCCATAGCGCTCATCTGCAACACGTCCGTCTGACGGCCGCCGTGGCAACAAAAGCAAGCGCCTCACGCCAACTTTCTAGGCCGCTTAAACATTTGGCAGAGTGATATTTGTGCTTGCGGCCTTTTCTGAATCCACTGACTTTACTGAATAACTGTTTGTATGCACGTACTTATATATGTATGTGTCGAACAACTGTTTACATGACTCTGACTGACTGCTAGCTTATTGGTTTGTGCGCGGTTGACTGCCGTTTGTGTGTTGTCTATTTACCTCTGTCTTACCGGCAAGCAAGCGCTCTGGTATCCACACCGACAGTGGCACGGGTAATGTCACGAACCCTCCGCCGACCTTTGTTTGTTTTGTTTGTAAATATTTACTACTCAAACTCCGCCGCAGTCCGTCGGCTTTAGTAACAGCTTCGAGTAGTTGTGGAAGCGTTATTGACGTGTTGTAACATGGTAATAAATCAATCGAAGTGCTGCAACATGTGTGCACCGGAACTTTGGAGTTCGAAATTGGAGTTGGCGATGACATCGTGCCTTTATTAAACGTAAATACTTTAAAAGCTCTAAAATGAATCCATTGAGAACGGAATGCCCTTTCGGCTGCATTGCAGGTAATTCTAAACAGATGCCATCGCCGTAAACTGAGGCAGCTTCTCATATTCAGTTACCTCAAGTAAAATGAAAAACTGCCTATATCAGGTTTGAATTGAAGGATTGAACTTTTCTATAATAATTGGTTCGATGTAAGTATGGATACATTTGTTCTTTTGTTCAGATCTTTAAGCAAAAGAGGGAACAGCACGCCAGTCATTTCTCTTCTGTGCTAACTGACGCCAATTGGAAATGCCAAGTGAAGCCAAGTCCTTCTCCACCTGGTCTTTCCAACGCAGAGTAGGCCTTCCTCTACCTCTGTTACCAGCGTCGCGGCCCGCGTTGAATATTTTCAGAGCAGGAGCGTTTCTGTCCATTCGAACCCAGCGGCTACTTTCGGATAATGGTATCTGCTGCAGAGGTTATGTGGGCGAAATAGTCATGATAGCTAGTGGGAACCTCCAGGGCATCTCCTGCGGCAAACACAATTCATAGAAGGGGCTTAATAATAACGTCACCAAAACTATAATGTTTTATTTAACCATAAGGGCAGCTCTCCCGCCCCATGGGAAAAGCATATAATCTTAAGTAGACTTACTGTACCTGGGACTGATCCTTTTCAACAAATCTATAAGGCAAAAAACACCTGAGCGCATCCATTTCTAGAGTCGCGAAAACGTGCAAACGTCTAGCAGGTAAAATCTGTGATCCCAAAAATCCTTAGAAATCATACATTTTATGGGACAATTTGTCTCAACAACTACCCCAGCTATGCCGAAGCAGTCAATCTCAAGTTTGATTCTCAGGAATACGTTAGCACTGGAGGTAATTTCAAAGCTGGAGCCTCTAAGCTTAACCAGCAGCTGACAATTCGAACTCTACAAATTTCATCAGAAAAAGTTTCCGTGGAGAAAGGTCTTTTCATCTAAAACGCGGAGGACCTGGACTCTAGTGGTAGCCAGGTAGCTCGAAAATTCAGGCGACTGTAGGACATGAACTAGCATACCAGCGCCAATGGTACATGAGAGTATTTCAGGGGCAGTTTTCGTCATCACTTTATGGGTCGAGTATAAGCTGAGCATAAACTGTCGCAACGATGACTATGGCAATCAAAGCTGTTCCATCTGTCAAACTCAAGCATTTTTCGATATTCTCCGTGTGCATAGACAGACTTAACTTCCATTTATTTATGCCTACCAGGCCACTAGAGAATATAGAAAAAGGTAGCCACTCTCCCCATTGAACCCTTCCTGACATTGGATACCAGCATAACAAAAGAATAGCTTAGGAATGAAAAAAGCGCAAGGAGTAAATGCAACTAGTGACGCTGCAGAAGGCTATGCCGTGTAAAGTTCTTGATTGGGGGATGTAATTTAAAGGAATTTGAAAATCCCCTAAACGATAACTAAGAAATCTGAAAAGGGTTCTGCAGACTAAAGATTTATTTGTTCAATTAAAGTACTCTGCCAAATATACACCGTTGAATCTTCTAGGCGAATGCAATGATGTGTCCTGGAGACGAGAGAAAAATATAGGCCTCACATGGCCGGAGTACGTGCATAGCCATTCCCTACAACCTTTTCTTTTCTTCACAACACAGGAAACAATAGATAGATAGGTCGCAGTGGAGTCTAGTGGTGAAGTGTTTCGAGTGAGATCATCTGGCTTTTAGTTCCTTTGAAAATTGCGGTGACCGTCATCGAAAGTATCGTTGTGGCAATTAGACTCACTCCATTATCCAAGTTAGGTTTTACACTCCATTAGAAAAGACGGAAATTTTTGTCAGGTTTTCTTAAACTTATGGACTATTCGCTAAGAATTTTCTGTGATAAGCTTCTCAATTGCGCTGGCATATGCGAAATGCCGAGCTTGGGAAAGTTATTCTACACAATGCAAAAGAAACTAGCTCTATTTATGACCAGTGCGGATAAAAGAAAGCCCCTGGACATTTCGTGCCCACATTAAGTTTGCATAAAGCACACCGTCACAAACAAAATTTGTACCGTGGAAAAAGCTAGAACACACAGAGTAAAAGTTCGCTACGCTTTCTACTCTTCTAACTATAAGTTTTACGTGGCGGGTATATGTAGCTCAACACTGGCCTTAATGTATACAACATTAGATGCAAAAGCTATTTGTGGTTTCTTCTTATTATTTTATTCACCTACGCATTTAACGTGGACTTCTCAAACGGTGTATCCCATCAATCGGTAAAATAAGGAAAGTCTTCTATTGCTTATTATTCTCTAATGTGTCAGGTAGTTGGATATAAAATAAGTTATATAATACACTATAAGCTCTTCAAACCGAAATAAATTTTTCGAGTGGTTTAAGGCTTCAATCCAAGATGTAGTTAAATTTTTGTGCATAAAAACTATGTGCATTTGCCACAAAATGCCCACAGGACACTGTATAAAATTGCTACAAAAATAATGTTTGAAAAAAATTGTGAAACGTAAATTTTACATGCAGTTGGCAGCAACCGCGCAGTGGTCGCAGTCACTTCAATGTCTCTTACATTCTCGCATTCTTAAGTAAATGTGTGAAATTTTATTGTCAAAGCTAGCACAAGCTTGAAAAGCTCAACTTCTGCAGTGCAACAATTTTTCGTCCTTTGCAATTTCGCGCCGTTGTCATTTTGCCATTTTTTAAGCGCTCCTCACTGAAACTGAAGTTTATTTTTGACTGTTTTTTTATGATGCTCATCTGGGCACTTCACTTCCGCCTTTCACACACACACACGCACGCACACAAACTAATAACTTTTCTTTCTCTTATCTTTCTACTTGCAGACGGAACTCTCGCATAACTTGCAACAGTTGTCGGAGAAGGCACGTTCCACCACAGAATTCATACAGCGATTAAAAGGCATGAGTGACAAAGTGACGGTAAGTGAGTGCCTGCGGCTAACTAAGCAACCAACGCGCGCGATTCGGCTGTTACTATCCTCGCTCTACTCTAGGCGGGGAAGGGAGGTGGGGCGAGAGAGTAACGCAAATGAAACTATGACTAGAATACTTTTTCATATTCGGGCTCTGCAGGGATGTGGCAACAGTTATGAAGATTTGTAGTTGCTTTATCGCCATTTTTTGCTTTTAATTTTTCAAATTCTTTGCTGGCTTTGATGGGAAATATTAAAAGCATGAACTGCTGCAGGGCACTTTGGCGCGACAGTTACAAGCTGCCAAGTGTTCGAAAAACGAGTTGGTTTCTGCTTTTTTAATATCTATGAATTTGTAATTTTTTTCATTAATTTTATTTTTAACTAAGGAGCCATTAACGTTAAGCCGAAATTCCTATAGAGCTGTGGCATTAAGAAAACCGAGCAAATTACAATGTCGCGTATGAAAAATGCGCTGCTTGCTCTTTTAATGGCAGAACTTTTTAATTGCGCGTATTTTCTCGCTTCCGCCGTCAACCCTTTTGCTGCTAGCTGTCAACTTTTCCGAGCAGCGCATACCGACAAAGACATATTACATAATGTACATGACGTTGGCATGCGCGCGCATAACGGAGTTATTAAGAATTTACGTGTTTACCTTCTTACCACTGGGCGCGAGTTAATCTAAGCTGGAGGGGAAAACAAAGAAAGTCAGAATATAAAAGATAACAAGAACGAATGGAGTAATGAAATAAGAAAACAAAAATTAAAAAAAAAAACCTTTGTTGTTTGGCTTAAAATGTACTCCTTTAATTTTAATTAAATCCTCATTTTTTCACTGCCTGTCACACCGTACTCACATTTTCGCTTTTCTTTATTCATCTTCCTTGTGTTGTTGCTTGGCACATCGCCGCATCGCAGGAGTCCTGCTTGGAATTCGAAAGACTGGTGACGGCACAATGCGAAGCCTTAATACAAGCAATACACGACCGCCGTGAATATCTACTCGAGGCCATACGCATGGATAAGGATACGAAAATCAGAATATTAAAGGTGAGTAAGATGCGTGAAAAATACATACATATGTAAGTAAGTAGGTATGTTTAATGACATGTAAAGGTGGATTGGGAAGTGAACAAGAAATGGTTGTACAGTAGCGGGCACAAAATCCAAGAGTGTCATGATTTTAGCCCCCCAGCCTCAGCTTGATCCGAGAAACACTTCATCCAATCACCCGACATCGTTAACAATTGTTACTTTTGTACAGAACATTTTGTCTCATTTGGTTTTGATACTTAACCAAGAAATAAGTTCAGAACGGAAACTTTATTTGCCTGATTGGTCGTACCGATCGATGTAAAAGGCAAAGCCCACTGTCAACGAACTGATTTCGAATTGTCACTGGCGCGTTACCATAGTCCTAGTATTTACTATACACCAATTCGCGGAAAAGACTCCCGAGAGCAGAATCAACACTTGCCATATTTTTGTTTATTTATTTAAACCACATTTTGCAGTACGAAAAAAATAGCATATACGCCTCCCTATCAGAATTTGGTACTAGCAATGTTGTGTAAAAGATATTAAGTAACATCACTAGCACCATTAGAATTGGTAGGAACTTATACGCAAAAAAAGGTTTAAGTCGTCCGACTTGTATAATTTCATGCTGAAGAAGATATTAAATCCCTTGGGAAGAACCCACAATTACTTTCACAGTTAAAAACAAGGACTTAGTTTGTTTAGGTATCTGCTTTAATACCGACAAGAACGTCAGTCATGAAATCCAACAGATAATCACTTTTGCCAACAGGTGCTGAATTGCAACGAGCACTCACTCTTAGCTTTGGCGAATAGCGCATCTATGGAACGATGAGCCGTATACAGGGAACTATTATACTCCAACTACTATGGCTGGATCATGTCTGCGAAATGGGCGTAAATGCTTAGCACTGAAAGTACTTTGTGCGGTACCCGTTGATGGTACCAGAAGAAGAGGATAAATTGGTCGTACCGTCATATTAAAATCTACAGTCCATGTTCTTCAGTGTCATAGTCCATGTAGAAGGGGGAGGTGACCGTAGGTTGATTCTGGACGTTGAGCGTACTTTCGATAATATGAAATACTCGCAGTGGTGTTATTATGGCTCATAGTAGTAGATGAACTCTGGTCGTCCTATTCAGAGATAAGGCACCTTCACTAAAGTCCTACAGAACGCGCTGAACATAGTCGCCAAATGTCGACATCAAATCGGATTGAACTTCAACCCTATGAACACAGGATAGTTATTTTCTTCAACAAAATGAAGAAAGCCGAAGAAGAAGAAATGTCTCTCAGAGAACAATGTGGAGGATAGGAAGCTAATACCCAGATACTTTTTAAAAAATATATTTCTTTTAGTTATAACTTTTCGCAACTGTCTGTGATGATTTTATGCCCGCCACTGTACAGTTATTTATATTGGAAGTAACAAGAAAGCTTTTCCATCTGCATAAATTTATGAATAAGAAGTCTTTCTCTTCACTTTTCTCATTCGTCTTCCTTTTAATTTTTTCTACTCCCTCAACATAGGATCAGCAATCAAATTGCACGGGCAAGTTGCAACAAACCACTGGACTAATACAATTCTGTATTGAAGCGCTAAAAGAGACAGACAGTGCTGCTTTTTTACAAGTAAGTAGAGTCGAAGTCTAATTAGTAGCTGCTAAATTATGTAAGAAATGTGTAAACACACGCTGAGTGCCATAATGACATAGCTTTGCAAAATAACATACGTACCTAAATGTTCATGTATGAATAAGGATACATTGTTTGCATATTAGTGGGTACATTAAGATGACTCGCAAGAATTCACAAAAAATTTTATGAAATGCTTAAATTCGTAAAAGTTTTCAACATGAAATAATGATTAAAATGTTTTTAGAAGGTAGAGAATATATATTTAGCTCTTTTGTGCCCAGGGAATCCTCTAAATCTAATTTAACCATAATTTTACATAAAAAAAAATTTACGTGAAGAATTACACTGAGCGAAAAGTACAATGTTTTTTTCTACCAAGTTATTGTTTGTTTGTGCTGTTATATTTTTGCCTCTAGCAGGTTCGGATTCGAGTGACGCCAGAGGCGACATGTAATTGTTTTTTCCTTATTATGAAAAAGCAACTATGGAGTGCAGAGCAAAATCAAACGACCAAGAAAATTAATTCAAGTTGAACATTTGAATACGCTTTCATATAGCGGCGATAGCTGAGTGCGCGGAGGATGCATCAAAATCATTTTGATGCCTTTTTAAGTTTGAGTTCGGTAATATTAATCAATTATTGGTAGACTTTTTTTCTCAGTGTAATCATTTCTTGTTTTGTTTTAACTGCTTTAGTTTGTATCTTCTTATAATATAAGACATTTATTAGACATAGTGTAATGACACAATTTTGCGAAAAACCTATTTCGCCAGTGTTTGAGACAAAATATTTTAGTGAATTTACAAAAACTAAAATTTTTATAAAGATCATAATTTTTTTTTTCGTGGACTATGAGACACATTAATGTACCACCAATTCTCATATTCTATGAATGTATGTATGTGCACATCTTTTAATTTTCACATTAACGAGGCCTGCGCCATTGGGCGCAAGTATTCTCCATCGGCTTCCGCGTTCTATTTCGCATTCACATTGTGCTCTCCTTTTTTTTAAAGGTGAAATTAGTCAAGAACGTAAACCTACCGGTACGTAAACCCGAGTTAGCTGACACGATTTGTCTTACCAGAGCGCCATGTAAATGAAAACTCAACACCGCAGAATTTTTCTCGAGTTGTAGCCCGTTGCGTAGAAATCTGCAGAATTTAGATTTTTCCGTGTCAGCTGATTTCTTCCTTCTATAAATGGTTGCCACTTCGTCAGTTTTGCAGATGATAAAAAAGTTATATAAGTTCCTGGTCAAAATGCTTTTAAAATATTTGAAATGTACTATCGAATAAGGTTTTTTGTTGAAAAATAAGTAGTTTATATTTAGCTACAATCTATTATAGCACGAATAATTGTAATTGAAAAGGTAAGTTTATGAAAAAGCATTGATGAGTGGCAACACTGTGGGCTCCAGTAATCGACAAAATTCCCCGTATACAGACAGCGTTTAAGAATAAGTTCTACGTTCTTGACTAATTTCACCTTAATTATGTTTACATATTTCTAATTACGGATATGTCGGTGTGCTCTTACTTTTCTGCCTCACCTTTCACTAAACCATTCCCACAGGTCGGCTCTATGTTGATTAATCGTGTTGCCAATACGGACATGACCTGGCATCAGGAGGTGACAAATGCCGCTCCACGTGTTTCGCCAATTGTCGACTTGACGCTCGACGATGCTGCGCTGGTGCGGGCCATAGATAATTTGAATTTTATGCAGATGAAAGGTAAGCGAAATGTTATCTAATAAATAAATGATTTTATGGAGAGAAGAATATTTATAAATACCTATAGATAGTTGATTATATGTATGTATGTATGTTTGTATATATGTATGGTACTTACTCGTATGTATATGTACGTGTAACTAGGTATAACAAGTATCTAAGTATTTATTCGTTGATATGTATTACATAACTGCTAAAAGTATTGACTAAAAATTTGACAAGCATTTGTTTAACAAATAATTACAGTGAATTTCAATTTAAACTTATATAGGTGTAGTTTGCCAAATAAATAGCTCTAAAATATTGTCTTGCCATTTAAAATGCACCACGATCCTATTAACGAAAGCAACTGCTAACAAACTAAATCATCGGCGGTTTCGCTTAGACATAAATTTTCAAATTAAAAAATGTGTCCATTGTCTGATGTTAGTTGGCTGAAGCGTAGGTGCGGAAATGTGTCTGAGTAAAATTTTGCTGTTTTATTTTCCGGAGTTTTCCCTGGGGCAGGTTGGGAATTTTCCGACTATGAAACCGAATACGCATACTCCGTTGGAGCGTGCGCGCAAGTGAAACAGATGTATCTGAAGTTACTTACTCACTAACAGGAACAACTTGGGGACACCTAATTTCGGGCATTTATTTTTCGAGAACATTCAGAAGTTGGATAAATTCACTATTTCTAAAGATGTCCTGGACATTTCAGTTTAATATCCGTAGATTATAGTCTTAATTCCGTCATCGTGGGTGGTTAACTCAGTGAAGGGTTATCATCCTAGGCTGTTTTGCTCTTTATTACTGGTTGTAATTTCTTCGTGGCTTTTCCCTAGCCGAATTCACATACATATTCATACAGGAATCCATACTCCATTGCAGATGCCCGCATTCAGCCTCGTCCACGTATTAACAGTCGCTACTAACTTCAGTGGGCCCCTAAACCGAATTAGTTGGAGTTACCTCTAGAGCTGGAAAACTATCGAAATTTTTATTGTCACTATCGATAGTGTCGTTTTTAGGTTGTACTATCGATAGTTGTAGCCGTCATCGATAGTCTTAATGATAGTTTCTTCTGTATTTCCACTACTCTATCATTCTAATTTTAAATTTATTGGTGTAAAAGCTTTTTCGTTCAGATACATATTAATGTGTGGAAGTATTACCCATTGAAAACGATACGATACTATCGATTGTGCAAAACTTTAACTATCGAGACTATCTAGTGGGAACACTATCGATAGTTTTCCAGTTCTAGTCACCTTACCGAACGTTTATTCAATTTTGAAGCCAATTACTCTTATAAATGATTACCGATCTTAACCGATTCATTAGCGTGGCCATAAATTGGCAAGAAAGCTATGCCAATAATTATTTGTATGCTAATTATTATTTAATGCAGTTTAGTGTAATGAAGGTGAAACCGATAAAGTACTTAGCGCAGGAAATAATAAAGTGGAATTTACGAAAAGCATTTAGTAATTTTTTAATCCAATGGCAAACAACAATCAAAACACTACTCACAATTCAATACATGCCGCTTTGATGCAAGCATACATATGTAAATGTTGCATGTAAATCAAAGCCACCATTCGTAATAAAAAAAAATAAAACAATCAAATGAAAGTACCTTCGTGTGATTTGACGCACATTTTTGGAGCGCAATCCAGCTGCATTACAACATCAAGTACGCTTAATGGCACACACACACACACGCACACACACTAAGCGGCATTGAAGTGCCCCTCGGCCTAAGCGACAGAGAACTGTCACACATTGCCACATGCGCGGCGTACTCGAGGTAGTTGGAGCCGCCGCTGGGGCGATGAAGGCGGAGGCTGTGGCGGTGGCTGCATGTGGCAGCTGTGGCAATACAAATCACCACGGCCACTTAACACTTTTCAGCAAATATTTTGATTGTTTTGAAAGCGTTTGTTTCCAATTGACGCGTATGCACATATTTATCTATATACATATGTACGTGTGCTTGTGTCTGCAGACACTTTGTAATTGGATACATTTTCTGGAGGGCACTCGACTGGAAGGAAGTGCAATTGTTTTGGGGCGCAAGTATTACAGCGCGGCGCTTTGTAATTAAAATAGACTAATTGTTTCTTAATTTATTGAAGCTACATTTTAGGTAAAGCTATATTATGTATGGATGTAGATATGTATTTATGTATGTAGGTATATTTATAAACATCATAGCATTTATTAGGTATGCTTATGTATGTATGAGTTAATCTACATAATTGTGTCTGTTTTGCTCTCTCCCTCTCTCTCTTTCTCTTGCACACAATATTGAAAAACATTAAAAATAAAAATAACCATGCTTCAATACCATCAACCCAACCCATCAAAATGTGACGCAACAACAATCGATTGATCGAAACATCTGCTTGAATTGAATTTTGGAAAAATATTTGTGTGTACCCATATCACTTACCGCTGACAATCCAAAAAAAATAATCACTTCAACGTGCATCTATAAAAATATACCCAATACACACACACATACACAAACAAACGTGTTCATGTGTACATTTGACATATTGTGGCACCAACCCCATCCATTCATGCATTCAACCGCAAAATTTAAAAAAAAAATAATTAAAAACGAAATTCGAAAAACCTCAAACGCGCCCAAAAACAGCCGTCAAAGATGGAGAAGAGAGATTACCAGCAGGTGAGATGTTATTACCCGTAACCACAACGTTAAAAACAAATGAAACAACAGCAACTGCATCTAGCACAAATGAAAACACTCCAATAACAACAACCATGCCAACAAAATTCATGCGTACCGCAACACTACCAAAATCCATTTCGTCCAGATTTCACAACAAACCCAACTTCATGAACCTAACCAATAATGCCATCAACACATCCACCAAAAAAACCTTCACCACCAACACCAATGCCAACAAGATTAACATTACATCCACCTCATCAACAACATCGACATCGACATCTTCATCACCGTCACTGTCACCAACGTTATCACTACCATCACTAACATTATTGTCGACACTCTATCCAACGATGATAACAACAAAAAGTACACGCACCACACACACACATGCTTACATTCATAACTACATATTTTGGCTTTCTTTGATTTCGATCTTTTCTATTAAGTTTGAGCTTTTGTCTAGACTTTTAACAAAAAATTTAAGAATTTTCTTAAAATCTAACTCACAATTAGATAATCTTTGTTTTATTTATGGCTCGGTGTTTTCTGCTGTATTTTGCTGTATTGGCTTTTGTTGCTTTTGTCTTCTTTATTTAGGTATCGTTTAGTTTTCCTTTAAATATTTGTTGTATTGTATTTTGTTGTTGTTCTCTGTATTCATTATCACATTCCGCTCAACCGTTTAGATTTTCCCTTAGTGCGACTTTTTTCATTGATTACAAGAAATTGTATTAACACCTCTTAAATAATAGTAATCTCGGATTTATCATAAAATTCAAAGGGCGTATCATATAACAGCCTAACCCTTCACTTAACCATGCGTTGTGGTCTAAAAGACAACATTACATAATCAAATTGTATTTTCTGAGTTCGCATTTCCCCAAGAACTGATTAACATCTTCGAATAAATAGTACCCATATTTACTCTTTTTGGCCGTTTCAAATCGAAATATTATAAAATCGAAAGCCTCAGGTTTATAATTTTATAAAGTAGACAAACTTCAAAAAAAATAAATGATTGCCGACGAATTGAGCGAGCGGTTTTACCTTTAAATAATTGTATCATGGTTTATATGACAGTTTGTAGAGAATCAGCCATATAGAGACTACGAAACCGGCAACAATCTGTAAGTGATCAATAACGATAAAACTTACTTTAACATCGATATTACCGATAGCAATATCATTAAAAATTTCAATATTGATAAATGCAACAATGTCAAAAATGTCGAAGACCGATTTCAACCCCAATATCGGTAATGATACCAGGCAGCAAGTAGATTATCGAACAACATTTGCCATACATCCGAAGCAGATGACAGACGAGCTAGACTGCCATAACTGTACTCGCTTGTGCCACGCCTCTACTCGTCAACCTTGTTCTTGTTTCGCCATACGAACTACTCGTTAATAAAGAAAAGAAATCGCGAATTGAAAACAGCTAATCGACAAGTAGTACATAGGCGAATGAGTCTTTTTTTGGTTTGTCTCTCTAAATTAATTTTTAAATTGTTGACAAATATTATTTCAAGGCTATAGTTTCGATGCAAAGCGTTTAATTCGCTCGGAAAATCTTTAAATGAAAAACAAATTTTTCGCCAACGAATCCTTTTATTAAATCACCACATTTTCTTTTCAAAACCACATTGATTAGTAATCTGCGCGAAAATAATTTAATTTTATGCCGCTAATTCTTTTTAAAGCTTGCCAATTCGTAGTTTTTATAACGTGAAACCAAAAACAAATTAAATATTTACAATTTTTCGGTAGTTGCAAATTTTATAAAATACCAAATAATTCAAATTGTCATAGGAAGCGCTTTTCAATTGCTTTTATATGTCTTATTTCCTCACATAACTAAATGTTACCACATTTTCACTGACTTTTACCGCAATTTCATTTTGTTGTTTAACCTACTTTTCAGCGACAAATTTAATTTATGACTTTTTACATATGAACTCAAAGCCATGTGCACAAATTTCTGTGTGTAAACATTCATTTTGTTATATATTTGTGTTGGGACAACTCGCTGGCAATTTCCCACAACCTGTCATTTGACGTTATGAGTTATACAACTTTCGGCGCCATAAAATATTTAAGCAAGTGAAAAAATTCGTGTGCAGTATGTACATTAGATTGCATCACTCCCCATACAAAAAAAAAAAAAACGGTACTGTTTTTCCATTGGAATTATAAAATCTATTATATTTTAAGACGTCTTAAGATGTGTTGGTAATTGAAAAAACAAAAAATTGGGACACGAATGACTTTTTTTTGCACATAAATAAAAATAGTGGGGAAAATACCTTTCCACCGAGATCCCTTAAGTCTAAATCAGAATAGTTTTGGCCCAGTTATTTAAGTTTTTCGTAAATCAATCTTTGGAAAATGTAAAAAAAAACAGCATCAAAAATCTCATTATTACGATTCCGTTGAAACAAATTTTAAATATTTTTATGCAGATTTTTTTCAGTCTAATCTGCTTTGTCATCTGAGGGGCTTTTTTCAAAAAGTTCTTTAAGAAAGTATTTTTATTCATAAAAAATCCGTCCAGCTCGCTTAAATCTTAATATTTTTCCGAAATATTTTGGTGGACGTCTTAAAATATAATAGATTTTGTAATTCCGGCGGAAAAACCGCAACTTTTTTTGGCGATGCTGCCTAATGTACATACATTTGTCCATATTTCCATGGGTATGCAATATTTATGAACTCACCCACATTTAACAAAACATACAAATGCACATTTTCTGTGCTGGAAGTATGAGCGGAGTACGGTTCAGTGCCACAGTTTTTCATCTCTAGAGAACGCCCAAATATGGAGAGTACTTAGTGCAAGAAATATACTAGTAGGCTACGCAAAGCTAGCAGGATTATTCAGCGGCTTTAAAGGCAACTAAAGTGCACTTAGCTAAGGAGGTCAGAATAGTAATCATTTTTTTTAAAATGAACTTGCACTTTGGCACTTCTTTGACTACTCACGCTGCTTTCTCCCTCGAGCTACTTTTTTTGACGCATCTCAATTGTCCACAAAAAATACAACCATAAGGATAGTTGTTTTGTAACGGTAACCAAAAATAGATTTAAAACTAAAATTTTGTAATGCCGATAGATGATTTGTAATACAAATAGTCCAAGTGTAATGCTGGGCGGCTACATTTTTTTTTTAAGATGATCGAATGCAATGCACAGTGTATCAGTTCTTTGATGTTTTTTTTTGCAATGCAAAAACGTCCATTCGACTTGTTTCTGGTTTCAATGGTTTGCAGAAGGGGACAATTGGTCGCAGCCTAGGATACAAAATGTCAAATGTAAATTTGGTTACACAAATTTGAGTCTACTTTGTTTACTACTCCACTGCACTATGGGCAAAGAAATTGTTTTCTTCGGAATAAAGTCTAAATATTAAGATAACAGCCCAAAATTTGTTTTAGATATGTGTTATAGAGTTTTGAGCTGGCCTACCAAATTTTGTTCGATTCGAGGCACTGTATCATATAGCCGCCCTACGAGTGGTCTGGCAAACTTATACAAACTTCGTTGTTTTTGATGCTACACTCTTGAAATTCGTTTCGCAAACGTTGGACTTTTGAAAAGAATTATCTATTTAGTGAAACATATATGATTACATTTTAACTGCAAAGTACTTAAGTTTCACTCTGTAAAAAGTTTTATTTCTCGCTCCCGCGCAAGCCTGGCTTAATACGCATATCTCTAAAGAAATGCAATTTTTTCAAGAAAGATTAGTTATATATTAATCTACACTTTTGTTAATAACTTATCATTTGAAACTCTTTGCACTAGCTTGCCCTTTAAAAGTTATTCTATTATGTTCAATTACAATACACAAAACACAATAATAACTAAGAGGCCATCAAATCATAATTTTACATATCTGGACTAATGTTTTCCATGATAACACTTTTTTTAAATGTTAAACTTTTCAAACCACAAAAACTTAAAGTGAAGTAATATTTCCTCTAAATTCTTCTAAGACAATGTGAATTTCAATCAGCTGACCTTGAAATCACTCTAATGAAAAACTGTTGCCATCAGGATTTAATTTGAATAGGTTTTTTACTAATTCAGATTTAGGAAATAGGTTAAATTTAAAATACAACTCAAAAAAAAAAAATTTAACTTTATGCCAAAAATATAAACATTTTTCCCATAGTGCACTGCGATGTTTTAAGTTTTTTTTGTGTTGCACTTTTTGTTATTTATTTATTTTAAATTACAACTTCTTCTGCGATCGCCTTTAAGCTCAACACATTTTTTTTTACGCTGATTTTACTCACCACCGCACTTTTGACTTTTCTTCACCTAAACTAAACAGTTTGCATTTACTAACTTTCGTTGGAACAATTTTTTGTTAACCTTTTTTAATTCAGTATAACTTTAGTTAGTTAATTGTTTCCTTTGAAAGGGAGTTTAGTTTTGCATATTGGTTGCTACTTATTCGTTTAGTTGCTATTACTTATTTACTGTTTCGTAATTTCTTAAAGCAATTTTTTCCTAAACACTCTTAAGTTACTTTACATAAATACTTCACAAGCAAATTCAGTGATAATAAAATTAACTATTAATCTTTTATTCCATTTTACCACCACACAGCACCTTTAGCACCAACAATTGTTCCAGAGGATTGCTCAGCGGAAAATAATTCAGTTACAGTGGCGTGGCAAGCACCGGCTCATTCCTTCGTCGATGGTTATGTATTGGAGTTGGACGATGGCAGTGGTGGCGAATTTAGGGTGAGTACGGAATTTATGCTATAAGAAGGGACCAAATCGCGGCATTCGTAAACAAATGTATTTCGATTGAAACGGGGATTTAAGAAAACATACAAGCAAGTTACCTCATTCCCTGGTATCTGGTACTATACCCCGAGATGCATAATAATTTGTAGATATTTTAGCTTGTAATACCGAGCCATATGCCCTAAAGTTGCTGTAAAGTTTCATCCGGCCAATTTCAATATGGATTTAAATTCCGATATTATTTTTGTATTTTAAACCCAACTCGCCTAATAAATAAAATAATATATAAAAACTCGTCTAAAAAGAGGCTCAGTTAAAAAAAACTTGGCGCTTCCAGGCGAAGAATTTCAGATTTATGTTTATCAAGCGAAGTCAAATGAAAATTGATCTTCGGTCATATTTTGATGACTTGAGTTACCTCAAGCGTATTGCCACTGAAAAGATTTTTCCTAGAACGGTAACTGAAGGAAATCCATATGAAGTTGTTAGGCAAGAAAGACACTGGTCGCTCAAAGCGAATTTTTGTAGGCAGTTGATGCGCACCCGAGATTTCCTTGGTAGTGTTGAGAAAATACTGGTCGAAATACCTAAGCTTTAGTCTTACGAAGGCAAGGCAGTTGGAAAGAAAATGCTGACGTAATTCGACCACGTAATCCAGCCACGGCAATAGGAGTCAGAGACGATGTTGATTCGTACCACACAGCCTAAAAGATACCCAAGCAATTTGAAAATTGATATTGAAATCCGAGAACTTAAACACATATGTATGTATATAAGATTTGATGTATTGTGGAACGATTTTCCGTCATCTCTTGTCAAATTTGGTTTGGAGACAAACCGGTTTCGGCGTTGTGCCATCTTCAGAGGGATGACGGAAAATCGTTCCACAATACATCATACTCCTACCCTATCGGAAACACAAATAACCAAAAAGAAGTATATAAGATTTCTTGAAATTTTACTGAAATTGGTACCCTCACGATTTCATGAAGACACTCCATAATTCTTCTATGTATAATCAAGTCCTAGTTGTGTTTAAATTTTCAGCTTACGTACAAATTATTAATTTTTCATATTCTCGCTTTACACTCCTCAGGAGGTCTATTGCGGCAAGGAAACAATTTGCACCGTCGACGGTCTCCACTTCAATTCAATGTACAACGCGCGCGTAAAGGCCTTCAACAATGCCGGCGAGGGTGAATACTCGGAGCTCATTGGATTACAAACAGCGGAAGGTATAGTGAATAAAAACAAAACAGCCAACTGAAGTAGCATATCTATGTATGTATGTATGTACTTGTAAATTAAATAGAAGACAACAAGAAATGGGAGTTCTCAACCACCTTAGACGGTGCTTCGGTACAAATATGGGGAAACGCTTATTTACGCGTTGCTTTACTTTGCGCATCAATCTTACATGTTTACTTATAGAATTCAATATTTCAATTAAGCTTCTAAAATTTCGACTCGAATGAATGCAGCAAAAGCAGAGTACTGGGGTGCGAAAGTGGAAAAAGGGTTGCTAATATTTTGTGCTTAGAATTGTAGTTGACAGGCAGGAGTGCCAGGTGAAATGTTCGGCGGCATTGCGGCTACTCGGTAGCTTAGAAACGACAACGGTGAAGGTGAGGTATCTAGGAGGGGTGTGAGTGTCAGTGCAAGGGATTCTAAGAAGACTTAAGTTTGCTGTAAAAGTGATGTTAAACATTAGACACTGCCTATTAGTGTGGAAGGCAATGAAAGTGGGAAAGTGGTAATGGTGTTGCTACGCAATAAATGAATAAAATGAAGTGGTATTCAGCTCATCTTGTACTATTATCGTTTTCGAGCTTGCCGCTCCCCTTCGGTATTGCGTGGAAACATTTCAATTCATAATTCTTTTGTATATTCGAGTACTTTTCTTGTCAAGTATTTTCCAGGTGTATTTTCGCTTACTTCTCGCAAGTGACTGACAAGTTTGCATGCAAAGCAACCATTGACCTCTTTTATATAAAAAAAAAAAAACAAAATCTACAACAACAACTTGTAGAGTATGATATGAATAAATTTGTAACGGTGTTTACGTGCAATTTTCCTCTGGTAGGCGCGTAGAGTGAAAATGGCGTGAAAATAGGGAGTCTATGCATGAAAAGTTAAGCGTAATATACATATGTATCTATGTAAATATGTATAGTTGGCAGGTGCTTAAGTGGTATTGTGGTTGTTGTGGTGGGGATCAAACATTCTGCTTTTGCTCTTACTTCAACAATAAGTTCAACTGGCAGATATTTTTGCTACAAATGAGCATATCACCACCTCACCTCACTGCCACACCCTTACAAATGAAATACCGTTGCACCGCTTGACACCTTATGCCACTTTTGATGTTCACGCTAACCGCAGGGATCAATCAACTTCTTAGCCCACCAGCCACCAGTTGTAGCTTTAGAATGCATGTGTATGTATGTATGTACGAATATCCCCTTAGTACTTTGTGTTGTTGCTAGCTCGGACGTTTAATTGGTATGCGGCGGCTGTCAGTAGTTTCGTTATTGTTGTTACTTTTTCTCCTTAAATCCTTTATCTGCGTGTTAAGGCCGATAATTGCGGTGGTAGTATAATGCGCTTTACGGAATCCATCCTGGCGTACTGTTGGGCTCAGTTGGTATATGGGCGATGAGAGAAACAAGGACTCAACGGCCTTTACTACTGGCAAAGAGATAGATATCGGGCGACGTGACTTCCCTAGGTTGGCAGATAATGACCTCAATGAAAGTAATTTACTTCCACTGTTCCCGGACACTTTAGCTTCAGCCTGTTTAGTTCGTCCGTGCCAATTGAACGCCTTAGCCTTTCCGTTGAGCACTCGAATATCGGCACTGTTGATAGCGAGTGGTGCAATGGCTTTAGCAGTTTTCTTAGCGTTCCGGTGATGCGCCCTTTGACCTTATTCGAGAATTGCCAAATAGCAAAAATTAAGTCCCTTGGATTAACCTCGCCTTGATGGTAACATGCGGTTTGTAGTACCCTTCCGAAATTTGATTGCCAGGTGTGAAGCATCAAGCCGACCAAAGTAACAGTATTAATGAAAAAAATATATATATGTATATATACAACGGACGCATTGATCAGACTAAGTACATTTCGCGTGAACGTTGAGTCAGGGGTCGTTGCTGGATGCGAGCAACAGAGGATAACGTAACGTGTGGTCTACTCTCTATGTGTCTTAAGACCAATACATGTCTTAAGTTTGCTCAACCCGTTCCAGGAGTTACACATAACTTAATTGAACTTTGGCTGGAACTTACATTTTGTAATTTTTGAAATGTAACGATTTTTTTTTTTTATTTTAAAAATTCGAGATACTTCAAGATATCAACATTAAACGGTGGAAATGTTCTTTGTGCCAAAACGAACCAATCTAGAGTAATAAACCTAGTGTGCCACCAAATGCAAAAAAAAAATGGAATATCGTCTTTTATGCAAAACTGAACAATATGCGTTGTCTAAGATAAATAAGTGTGTCACCATTTCCGACCAAAAGCACTTTTTTTTGTCGAAAAATGTAACAACTCTTCACTTCATTAAACTCAAGAAACTTTTAAAATTTTCTCTCATAGTATTGGTGCTATTTTCATCACCCTTTTCACACCCACCCATTTACGTACATACGTCACTTGTTGCTCCGTTGAGCTCTTATCCTCATCCGCGTTCAAACTTTTATATTAACTTGGGCACTAAACTATTTAACAATTCAATAAATCTCAGCATAATCCTCCCCACAATTGGCAATAGCTAACTTTCTTTGCTGCCAATAAAAAAAGCCCACAATACTCGTAAGTGAGCAATAAGTTGACAATTGCTACAATTTGTGGCAACTAATAAATCCTCAATAATGCAACAAGCGAACGCCGTCAAAAGCTAATGGTTAATGCAATCAAAAAAGTGCCCACTCAAATAAAAGGAAAGTAGAGCAACGACAATAAAACGTAAGAGTACGCAAATAAATATGCCAGCGAATTGGATTCTGCTCTTAGTGGAAGTGCAAAAGTTGTAGCATACTTCAAGGCGCTTTACAGCAGATACGCAGCGAATTATGATGGCGATGACAGCACTCAAAGTTGCCACACAACTGTTGCAAATGCACACTTTTATTAACGCTTATTTTTCTCTGTTGTTTTTTTTTTTTTGTTAAATCAATTTGCTAAATTTTTTCTCACAACAAAGTGCTCAGTTGCATTCGCTGTATCGCATTCGCATTCGCACTATTGTCGTTATTATTATTATTATTTTTATTGTAATTGTATTGTATATTTATTGTAAAATAAAATTTCAATTTATAAACTCTCCACACTCGTTTAGTGCACATTTTTTTTATCTTTCCTTTTCATTTTCTTCTTTTTTTTCCGCCCCACAGTTGCCTGGTTCACATTCGATCCGATTCTGAGCGGCGGCGCCGGCTCTGGCCTCGTCTTCAGCAACAACAATGCCACAGTGTCGGTGGAGGGTTGGGAGCACCGCGTCGCTTTGGGTTCGGTGGGCTTCTCGCGCGGCATCCACTATTGGGAATTCACCGTCGACAAGTACACCATGGACACGGATCCGGCATTCGGTGTGGCGCGCATCGATGTCAATCGCAACAAAATGTTAGGTAAGTGAAAGTGGCTGGCTGGCAGTGGGGATCTGAAACTTTGAAATGTGAAAGGATAATAAAAAAAAAAATAGCGCATTTAAGTGAATACGCGTTAGAGTGCGCCACGGTGGCAGGCGAGCAGCTTGTCCGGCTTAAGCGTTACTTATGTACGCGAATATGCACTCTCGCTCGCTGATGGGTTAAGTTTACTCAAGTATTTCCAACTTGTTGCCTCTGGGCGGTCATAACTTTTTGATTTGCTTCAGTGGCGCAATTGGTTTGTCATTTTATTGCAAGTTTTTCCGGCGGATTCTTCAATGCAACTCAGTAGCAATAACTCGTTCGCGTGGTACAAGTTCGCTGATATATATTAAAAACGGTAAATGACAATTAATCGAGCAGAAGCTATCTAAACGCTTTGTGAAGTTTCAGACTGCGCAATGCACTTCGGGGAAATTGAAATTAATAAACTAACCTTTTTTCGTCCGCTGCCTCATTTCCGTAAATGTCCCATATCAGGGTAATTTCGTATTGATCAAAGTTATGGGCCAGCTCTCTCCTACAATCCTCCACCAGTTGAGATCAAACAGAGATAGAAGAGAGTGCCTTAATGGCCGCTTGGCTATCAGAGAAGATATGCAGATGAATATTTGGGAAAAACTTATAGGTAATTTTTTTGTCAAGATATTTCGCACTAAATTCAAATGGTCGTAAATCAAAAAAGCCAAAAATATGCAAAATCTATATTCATTTATTGTAAAATATATATATGCGCAATAAATATGCAAAGACAGGCACTTTTTTTGCAAAATATGCAAAACCATGGATCAACGATTAAATGCCATTTTAAAGGAAATTTCATGATTCCCAAAGATAACTTAACCATTTGCATTTGAAGATGTCTAATAAAAACATGCATTTGCATGAGGTGCAGAGCCCAACTTTTAAGATTAAAAACTAGGTCACCTAAAAAGATGCGGAACACCGTCAATAAAAAAAATTGGCAAAAATCAACGGTAAGTCCTAACTCCTCGAAATTTGCACTTCATTTTCTATAATTTAATGGGCTACAAAACTGGACACCAAACTTTTCCAATTTGCTGATTAAGGAGTTAGAAATTTTGGCCAATGAAGAAGTTTTAATAATTTTTGCACAAAGTCTGAAATTTGGATTTCTATCGTGTTTGTTAAGTAATGAGCTATACTACATAAACTTACATAAAAAAATAATAAATATTGCATAAACTAATGAAAAAAGCCAAAACTTGCTAAAATGCTGCGTCCCAGCTTTTATTTGGTTCATTTGGTTGGTTCGTAGTTGAAATCTGATCTAAATGCATTTCTAAAGGAGTTAATCGAAATAAACCTGCAACAAGTTTACTTCTACAAGTTTAAAATAAAAGTTTATAGCAAAAAGTGTATTTGAAGTTTTTAATTTATAAATTACTTTGAAATTATAAACTACTTTACTTAAAAATTAAATGCAAATGTAGAAAACAAATGTGGTGATGCTCATTCTCTAAGGGAAAGATAAGCTCTCTTTCCCAAAATCTTCTTCGAGAATGGGCCGAATTTCAAATTTACAACGAAGGTAGAATGCATTGGACAACGCCGGCTCCGTTATACTGGATAATGGCCAAGTTATCAAGTCGAAGGCCACACTCTTACTTACCTCAGTCATTATCGATGGTGAGGCAAAAGATTGCTAACCTTTTCTTCTATGTTGCGTAAAAATTTCGTAGCTGTACCAATTATCAGTAGCTCTCTAGAACAAATATGTATTAATTTTTCTCTATTGGAGTACACATATGTATGTATGGAAGTAAATTGAAAACTTCAAAACCGGTTTTGTTGAGTTTTTGGTTTTTCGGGTTATGAACGTCATACGTCATTGGATAGCGAAGATAATTTTCTCTACAATGTTTATTGGGTAATTTGTAAACATTTTGCAATTTAATTGAATGAACAAAATTTTTTATGTAGTTTAAAAAAATGTTTTTACGTTTTGCTATTCGCAATTATCTGTACTTGGTACTGGTGAATAAATTACTAAATGTATGTATGTATGTATATACATTTTCCGCATAAGTTTTATGACAGTTATGCGATAAAAACTAGAATGGGAATTTCTGTAAAACTTCTTACAGAGATTGACGTAAATTTCACGCTCCCTTTTTTCAAAAATATAATTATAATTATAATTAATTAATTAATCCCAACGGCTTTTTACCCTCCATTCCCGCCCAACCGACACGAGGGGCGCAGTCCGCATGACGTACGGAACCTTTTTTTTTGTTTTTTTTTTTTTAGTTTTTTCGTGCCGAGTAGTGGAAACAGGAGTTTGTTAAGTGTCGAGATCTAAAACTATTCAGCTACAGAATCAAATTCATCAGCTGATTGGATATGCTAAAGATAGTATTTCAATTATTGAGAGTGGAAATAATAGTTTTCTTTATAGTAAAAATCGAGTCCGATACGTCAAACGTGCTGAAATGACAGTTAAAATCTTGACATAAACCACGGAATGATTCGTTTAGTTCAAAATTAGTTTTGCATGGCTTTAAAAATAGAGGTCGAAAGTGTCTTGACATTCGAGAAGGAACATTAAAATTTACCTCAGCCAGGAGGGCCGGGCTCTTAATCAAGCCTGTCATTAATTTTACGATAAATATTATATCCAGCATTTCTCTACGACTTGCGAGTGTAGGCAAATTTATGAGCTTTAGATGACTTGTGTAAGGGGGGAGATTGTAATCTGAATCCCAGTTAAAATTACGCAATGCAAAAAGCAAGAATTGTTTTTGAATTGATTCAATCCTTTCTGAATGAACTTGGTAGCGGGGATTCCAAACAATAGATCCGTATTCTAGTATAGGTCTAACTAAACTGGTAAAAAGAGCTTTTGTAACATAAGGATCTTTGAACTCTTTTGACCATTTGTGATACCAAGATCGACAAAATTGGATACCTGCTCCAGATTATAATTTGATATTGAATAAACAGCTGGTTGAACAGCCCTCCGAGAGAAACACATAACTTTACATTTTTGAAGGTTTAGTGGCATATAGTTTGTATTACACCAACTAACCACGTTGTTCAGATCCGCTTGTAACAAAGACCTTTCTTCGATAGAGGACAATGTTTTAAAAAGTTTCACATCATCGGCATACATTAAAATTTTTGAATGTTTTATTATAGAAGAAATATCATTAATGAATATCAGGAACAGAATCGGACCAAGGTGGCTTCCCTGAGGAACTCCTGAAGAAACTTTAATGATGTTGGAAGAACAATTATTAACAATAACTCTTTGTGTTCTATCAGAGAGGTAAGATGAGATCCATTGAAGAAGACTGGGCTGAAAGCCGATTAGGTCGAGTTTACGGATGAGTAACGAGTGACATACTTTGTCAAAAGCTTTACTGAAATCGGTGTAAATTACGTCGGTATGAGCATTTTCTCTAAAACCGTTTGAGACATGAGTTGTAAACTCCAATAAATTAGTCATAGTAGATTTTCCTTTAGAAAACCCGTGTTGAGATTGTGTAATTGAAGAAGATATAGAATATGTCAGCTGGTTAACAATAATTGCTTCGAATAATTTGGGGATAGCGGAGAGTTTCGCTATGCCTCGATAGTTTTCTATAGACGACCTGCTGCCGTTTTTGTGAAGTGGTATTATTAAAGACTCCTTCCAGGCTGACGGAAAAAAACGCCATGTTTAAGTGACAAATTGAATAGAGTTGTTAAAGGCTCGCAGATGTTCTCAGCGCAGTTATTATACCAACCGGCTTTTCGAGAATACAGATTTCCTTAAAACTGATCAAACTGTTTGTGTCATATCGCATACTGCCCCCTTCTGTTAAACTTATTTGTTCCTGTTGGACATAAACCTGCTACTCTTCCAAAAGTCGTCAACACCTGAGCTGCATAGTATGTATTTCGTTTTTAATCAAAATCCACCTTAATTTGAAAACTTCCATACATCTTTTATTTTTGTTTTCCAATTATTTAATTTTTTCACTTATCCAACTAAGTTTGTTTTGTCAGTGTTTTTTTGCTTGGTTGCAATAACGTCGCTTTTGTTTCGTTCAGCCATTTCCGCTCTGCCGCTCGTTGGCGCTACGCAATATCCTCCAACAAATATTTGCCATTTCTGTTGATTTCTTGCGCAAAGTGCCAAGTTGTGTTTGCACTGCTACGAGTAAGTATATGCATGACGAGGTATTTTCAAACTTTTTTCAGCATCTTTTAGGTATGTACTCGTATCGAAGACACTTTCCAATCGAATTGAAATTGGCAATTTTGCGTGCGCTTTTTTCTATTTACCTGTCGATATTTAATGACAAAGAAAAGTTGACAGTGGCTCTTTAACATTTTCCTTACATACACCCTCACCCACACAAGCGTACTTAAGTCGGAGCATAGATACAAAGTTGTGTTTATACCCTCCCTGTCTGTCTACCTACCCTGTCTTGTGTGGTGTGCGGCGACACTTTTCCAAATGAAAAAGTTTCTTATTAGCCTTCGTTCGCAGCTTATTGGCGTCTTCGTGAAGTTGAAGTGCCGGCACTTAAGCGCCGTAGACTGGGAGGCAACTGGGGGCAATCGTGTTGCTCATTTCACGTTTGCATGTTTGCGCTATGTCGTTGCCTCGTCTGGCATACCTTAAGTTTCCATTTGGAGAATTTTCTACTTTTGTTCTTAAGTATGTATTTAGTTTTCTTCTATTTTCGGGTTGTTAGAGTGTTAGCGATATAATCGTGTTGCTTCTAGGCTTCACTGGCATCAATGCCACCCCGCTGCACAGTGCGGCCAAAATTCTAAGGTTTAAAGAAATGGTTTGAAATTTCGTACTAGGGGGTTTCGGAGGTCTAGGTGTTGTGATTTTTTGTGTCTTGTTGTGTTGTGTTATATCGTTTTGTATTGTATTGTGTTGTGTTGTATTTTATTGTATTGTGTTATGTTATGTTACACTATGTTGAATCTGTTATTATGTCTACTCAACTGAACTCAAC